CATTTAATCATATTTCGCATGTAAAATTTTGAATAAACAGATTTGTTTCCTGTGTTCTGTGCTGCTAATGGTGTAAGCAAATGACGTACTGGATTTCAAAGGTAGTTTGTTTTTGCCCTAAGAAGTGCTAAAATATTATGGATTGAATAAATAACGTACATATGTACATATATGTCGATGTATAAGATCAGAGCATGCTCCCAGTGCTAATTTTGGAATGTAAAACATTAACACTAAGCACAATTGTGGTCAAAAAACAACAGTATTACGCAACGCAGTATGGAAGAATGTATATTGGAAATAATAATAAGCAAAAAGAAGATGAACGAATCGGTAATGGCATCAACAGAAGCTTACCAAGAGACGGTAAACGGTCTGTCACTTTGGAAAACCTCAAAATCATTAAGACAGGATGAACTGAATTAATTTAAGAGAAGTACGTAGAAATCCCACAAAAGAGAACTTCACGGCAAAATTTTGCGCGTGTCCTAAGTCACCAAGCAGCGGAGAGAGAAAAATTTATGACAAAAACATCACAAGACAGTACTAATCACACAAATGACACCACTGTTTGTATTGTGTATAGATATACCAGATGTTGGGCTAATTTCAATATGACCACAAGTAAACTAAATTCATACCCAATACTTAATTACTGAAGAACATAATCTATGGATGATAATAATGATACCCGTTACAGACATAACCCGGCCGTTCCCTTGCTTCCAGAAGAATAGACACGTCACGTTTAAAGCGATAACCATAATAAATCGAACTGGCTACTATAGAACCACAGATTTTATACACCGTTATAGATTCCATGAGGCTTAACGGTCATTTACCGCCTTGAACAGTCAACTATCGAAGTTAAAACTATTGCCTATGTTAAAATGTTCAATATTCTCGAAAGAGTTATATAAATATCAAGGGAACATCAACAAAAGATTCAAATGTTAACAATATGATAGAAACTGTACACAAGGTAGAAAGATAGAAACAATGCATATGATTTTGTTCAAACGATAATCCATGATAAACGATTCATACGCCTTTACAATATTCGTATCGCTTGAAAAATTATTCATGAAAACAAAGAAATGTACTTTTATCCCACAGAATCTGATCATCTTCCGCAACCGAGAAGCTAAACATGTGTAGCTGGGCGATGAATTCCTCTTTGTCAATGGTGTACATTTTCGTAGCAATCAGTCAGTTCGTTTAGCAATCGTTTTAATTCTATAAAAAAACAAGAACAAACAAAATAAATGCTTACTTACCGCAGTTTAAATGAAGCTCAAAGATACCTAAAGACCGCTAAGAATTCTTGGAAAAAAACAATTTGTCTTACTGGCTCGGTGCGAAAGTTGATTTGGAATAGGACTAAAACAACAGTAAAGTAATGAATGATTTGCAGGTTAGAAACATTTTCAGAACGTCTTCAAATAGTTGACCTAGAACTCGATTATGACAGTCCAGCAAATCAGGTGCAGACGAGCTTGAATAAATTAGATTAATGTACTACTACCTAATTGGCTATGGTTTTCTTGAAAACTGAGGCAGAATGCGAAAAGCAGTTGATCAGGACAGGCAGTTAAACGATTTTCTGCTGTCATTCCTGCTAACTATAGACTAAGTCACAGGCTCGTTTCGAAGGTACTTAACGTTATTTCAAGCGTTACATCGATGCCTCTACTCCACTACAGAAGTGAGGGGCTATGTATGCGCCAGAATTGATAACCACTGCTGTTAGAAGAACGTGAGGGTGTCTGTTGGACGATTGGAATCGTCTTATTCACCAGCTTATTCAATTTCATGAAGTGGTAACGTTAAACCCAAACGTTACACTGATGAAATGTGCACAGATTTGAGTCGCATGTCATATTGCATAGTTTGTAATATTTTGCACCGCGAATTCTTGCAAATAGGATGCAAATGTTATGTAATTTTAAAATTCAGAGATATGACACATTCTCACTCACTAACTGGTGCGCAAGGGAAAGTTTAATTTTGTACGGAATAAAGAACTTATCAAAGAATAAGTTATTTCATGACAAGTGAACATCAATTGTAAATGTACTTCAAAGGAATCAAATAAACCAGGTCAACGATTGAGATATAAGTCTACCCGGAATTTCAACCCAAATCGCTCGCTATCAAAGGAAGAATCTTACCCTTACACCAACAATACAAAATGAAATTCTAGCGTAGTATCTTCCATGAATTATGGTCGTAGCAGTACAGTTCAACATACAAGATCTGGAGACGATGGGCATTGCCTGACGCTCAGCAAAACCAAATCCTTTTTTCTTATACAAGAAAAGGATCAAGAACTTGTATCGAATTACCATGAGTTAAATCCCTGCTCATACAAGCTCACTAGCTGTTCAGACAGATAATTCCACTATCAATGATTCTGGATGATCAGAAGCGGAAAGTATAGTAGGTTCTGAAGATACCTTAGGGCAATCGAGAAACTTCTGAGCCAAGAACAACGCGCGAAAGAGATCACATTGCTTTAGAGGAATCCCACTGTCGGCTGCCAGAAAGCATTAGACTACGCCGAACGCAATGCAATTTTCCATAAATACGGCGCCATTTAACGAAGCTACGTACGAACGAGATATGGTGAAAATATTGCAACCTGCAAAACACATTACTGATCGACTTTAAATCATACGTCTGAAATCCATCAAACTCGTGTGAGAAACCGTCAAATTTCGCAACACTATTGAACATTAGCATCGAATCACGAACTCCTGTATAGATCAGAATCTCATTCTTAATGCTAGGTTTCAGAAATCCATCAACAGCCAGGTATAAACGCTGCCATTACTAGAGTGCAAGTGTCTAGTTTTGTTCGAATTTATTTCATGCTGCCTACATCTGAGGCTCGTTTTCTGCTCCGTATAGGTCGAATTGCGAGAATTTAATTTTTTGTTACATTGCGGAAC